AGAATCATTGGTAGGATGTAATAATTGTTTTGATCATTTAAGAGCTACAAGACAAATTTCACTGTTAGAACAAGGGGATTGGTTAGACTCCAATTGAAATAAACCATGCTCACCAATACTAATTAGTCGATTAGGTGGTATATCGAAGACAACTATACGCGATTCTAATGCTCAGTATAATCAACTGGAAATGCTTGAACGGCTTAATGTTTGTTTACTGCATATATCAATCAGCAGGTCAACATAACGGATGTGATATAGTTTCATTGAACTATCATGTCGATGGTGCATTCGCTACAATATTTACTGATAGTTGTCATTTTATCTATTTACTTTTGTTTAGTTATCCTTGACGTGTCAGACATATGGAATTTCCATCAAACAAATCATGGAAACAACGATTGGATGTGCAACACGTTCAGGTTATGATGGATAAATTGATTTATCATTAGTATTACATTTTTTCGTTACAGAAATACCATATTTTATTTAACAGCTACAATATCATATTAGTTTCGGAGCTGGAAAGTGTGTCTGTAAGAATTGCACTGAACATGTAGGTAACCTTATTAAAGCTGCTTCAGTATTCTTATCAAATGCATTCACACAATGTACATTAGATGCTGAATCATGTCGACTTATTGGTCAGTTCCGAGCGATATTTAATCCAATCTGAGATTATAATGGGTCAAGTGAAGATTTAGTACAACTGCTATGCATGAGAATGGTAAAGGTGAGAAATATGCACCAGAAACTTGCCTACGATTTGTTATTTAGGAGAATAGACAATTGAGTCATAGAGTGTACAATGACTTTCCAGAGTGACTGTGGCCAGAGTGAATTGTACCATTGTCAATTGTGAATGTGTTCAGGCTGAATATCTAGTCAGTGAGAATAGGGAAATACATGTTGTGTTTGGTGTGGTGTGACGGTGTAACATTTCTATTATATGGTTCTCACTCAGCCCTCTTCCACTCTTTTGTCTATTGTTTTATACTACTTATTTACATTCATTCAGTAAATAGTTGTGTTCCCTGTAATTTTTACACTAATCTTCTAACGCATGTTTATTGTGTAATATTGTGAAATATTTACATATACATATAGTAATGTTTATTGTATTTATCATTCAAATTACATTAGCTCAATCATCGTAGCGGTTATCTACAGTTTTGTGCATTTGTTTAAACGCAACACAATTTCGGTTTTACGCGTTTCTCAATTGGGTGAACTGGTGGCTTCGATACACCTAACAGAAGTAAACGTACCAATTACCCTGAAAATGCTTGAACTCATCGATCAGTGTCAGTAATCACATTTTACAACACCATGTAATGCATCATTCGTCAAGTGTTCGAGAACCTGTTCTACTGAGTAGGCATTGATTCCGTGTTTGCATTGTCAATGCTGATGACTGAATTCAGTGAAACTAGTGTGAACAAGACCATTAGTCATGGTCACTCAATATTGATTGTGCACAGTTTCCACACTCGATGAATAAGAAGAGTGCATAGGAAAAGCTGTGACTGGATTTTGTATCACTTGACACTTGCATAATTTCACGACTAATATTTGAACGAAGAATATTGTTCACGTACTCGCGAACACCTCCCACCATGGCTAAGCAAGGGTCTGGTGAACAAAGTGAACAGCTCGATATTGGACTATTTAGTGCAAACAGGTCACAGTGTCAGTATAAACCAATCCTCCACAATTATTATTATTATTGGTTAAACATCATTATTAATCTCTCCTATACATGATTCATTCACTTCGTATTCATCCCACCTTATCATGTCTTACTAATCATATTTCACACAATATACTCTTGCACGCTTGCACACTTGCACACTTGCACACTTGCACACTTGCACACTTGATCGAATTGTAATTGCACTAATATTTCTCTCACTCTATCTCAACCCAAATGAATTCTGATCACGGATCATAAACATTTCACTTAACATATATATATATATATATACAAATGATTGTTCAAATGAAATAGACATCAGCCATCAACTGCCAAATGTCCAAATCGACTTTTCACCATTATCCTTCCTTCCTTCCTTCCTTCCTTCCTTCCTTCCTTCCATGTCAATGATGATTTGCCACAAACAATTGTGATCAATTTGATCTGTTCCGATATGTAAACAACAAATAAGCTAACATTGAACAACTTGTAATCACTGATTGATTATACATTTGAAATTACACTACAATCTGTATGAATCCGAATATCATTCTAAAGTGATTATTCATTTCCACAGATTCCTCATTCTATCCCCATTCATCTCTACAATTATTGATTTCAGAGCAAACAAACTCACTGCCTAATTTCCTTCATTCATCTCTGTCTCTGTCTCTCCTCGGAAAATATGTGCACTGTAACATCAACTGTGCAATTGTCATCCATTAATCATCACTGTAATCTGTCTATTTTCGAGTGAACCGAATAATTCCGATGATGATGATAATGATGATGATGATGATGATGATCGGTTTCGTGAAATGTACTAGTAAGTGCGTTAATTTCAATGTTCCATTTCAACACATCAGTCAACTGGTGTCATGTACTAAGAGAATCGCATCGGTCAACCTACTCGCTCTACAGTCGACTACAATGTCGTCAGTTTCTCTTCACATTATTCACATGTTTCAATGTTATCCATGAAAGAAAACACGACCCAACCATCTAATCAATTACAATACATACGATTGTCTTTTCCACTATTCAGTGATTTATTTGAAAGAACAACTAATGGTGAACAGCAAATGAATAGTTTATTTACATTTAGTTACAGAATGTCCCACATAGTGAAGTACAGTATAGCACAGTACAGTACAGTGCATTAAGGTACAGAACAGTACAGTAGTCAGTAAACGAATGAACACAAACAATTACAGATCAGATTGAACGTACAATGGTCAAATGATGTAAGATGAAGAAGGTGAAGACCAAGAAGAAGGAGAAGAAGAGTGTCAAAGTGAAAATGGTTTGAAAGTGTTACCGATCTACATGGACGATTGACTTTCATTAGTGCAAACCAATTATGCAAACATCTTACACTTCAAAGATAGATATTCAGTGACAAATTAGTCTAATATGAAATTGAATCATGCTGAGTGATTGCAATCACCAGTATTATGTGAATTGTACAGTGTAAACTTCACCATTCTCTTACCACAATCAAATGGAATGAGTCCAATCAGCCTTATTCATTCATTCATTCATTCATCTAATGATTTGCTGTCTGCAGTCTAATCATTCAAGGAACTTCAGATATATCAAGCAACTAACTCTCGAAACATATTAGTGGAAGGAGATGCTTCGAAGATAGAAGATTAAACATTCTGATTGGTGATGTTATGAAGAGTTTGTAAATTAAAGCTAATTAGAATATCAGCAGTTCCGAGCATGTAGACTGGGACTTCAAAAACAGACACACACACACACACACTTACACAATACGTATTTCACTGTTAAATTTCACTTGACACTCTTCTCTAACGTCCGTCA